CGGCTGTTCTGCTGCGGTCGCCACCGGCGTCGGTCCCAAAGTCGAGCTCGTTGTCGGTCGACAAGAGGCCTGTCTCGAGCTAGACGCCACCGACGGTTCAGACGGCCACTCGACAGTCGCCTACGCGGGCTCTCCAACGCCCTGTTGCTATCTGGACGGCCGGCTTAGCAACATGTCCGGCTTTGTGGTACCGCAGATCTTCATCTCGCCTGGACCCACAGTCAAGCCGGGAGTCGGAGTCGGCGCTGGAGAAGAGGCGACCGTCGCCGGTTGCGCGTATTCGCCTACGTCGACTGTGTCTTTGGTCGAGTTCACCTGCCAGAGGCGGACGTCGGACGCCGGCTACTCGACTCAAGAGGGACTCGCCGTCGAGAACACTCTGTCCGAAGGAGAGGAGGTGCTGGGGGTGGCGGACAAAATTCATCTCTTGACCGCTTCGGCAGTCGATCTCCTCGGCTCCCCGTCCGACTCTGAGCTCGACTCCGGCGTCGGCGTTGGAGTCGGCAAACGCAGAGCCTCGTCCGCCAGTACGGCCGACGTCGAGACAAGTGATGTACCGACCCGATTGATGGTGACCATGGCGAACGTGGCTACCGGAGTCAGTGCGGCCGGTCTGCGAGGCGGCAGACCGACGGCCGGAGCGACAGTGGCCGCATCCACCGGTACCTCCTTCCTCTACCCGCCGACGTCGTTGTCAATGCGCATGAGCCATTCGGCGTCTGATCAATCGCATCAGCCGACACACCGACTCGTGTTGCCGATGGACGCTCTGCAAGTGATATCGAGCACCGCCATGACGGTACCATCGTCGCATGAGCTCACGGTAAGCAGACGATCCGAAGGGTGTGGATGGGCCGAAAAAGACCGGCCCAGTGTTTCATTGTGTCTGGCCGGTAGGCAGACGGCACCGCGAGTTGCTAGGCGGCCCCCAGACGGCATGACAACCTCTTGTCAGAGCAATGCAAATCTCTCTTCGGAGGCCGGTAGACCCCGCTTCGGGTGTGCATTTTTATCCTATGCACACTGTTCACTTTTAACCTCACCTGGGCACAACTTCTGCCCGGACTCGAACCGGAAGCATAGAGCTCTAGCAAACGGAACCTCGTCGACCGAGGAATGGGGATATTCTGCTCATTGCTCCTTCTTTCAGGGCCTCTAGACACCCACATACTTCGGTTCCGATAGCGGATCTGTGCCTTGGCATGACTCCTAGCGGGGCTCGAACTACGGACACAAAGAGATTCAATCGGACTACACAGACAAGCCTTATTGACCCCACTTCTGGTCGAGAAATTTACCGAAAAAACGAACGTGTGCTTTTTGATAAAATCAGAAGTGGGTGGATCAGCAAGTAAGGCCCATAAGACGCTGAGCTTACTTGGGCCTTAGACGTATGTCGCTAAGGTATCTGAGCTGAGACCTCATGATGAAATAGAATAAAGAATATGGCAATGAAGAGGCTAGCGAAATAGTGTACCTCTCAGTTTAGCCTATACAAGAGAGGCACTGTGATCAAATGTTGCAACGCGGAGACGCTACGCTGATTCTATTTCAGCCTGAGCAAGGTTTCCTTACTGTTGCGAGTCATACTGTCAACTTGGACCTGGTGAACTTTGCCTGGAGTTTGATGCTGCGTGAATGCGATGATGCCTAATTGGCTTTTACATCGATACAAGCGAGAAAACGCGTTGCACCCCAGTATTCACATTCTCTTCGAGAAAGCTGGCCTTAGATCGAGCTGAATTCCAAGTCCGAATCAAAGTATAGCTTGGATGATGACAGTCTTCTTTCACTGTATACAATTGGTTTGACCCCGTTTTCACAGCTCTGCCGTGTTGCAAAGGCGACTTTGGAAAGTATACTTCATACTGCCTCATATGCTATTGTTGTTATTTCTTTTTGCAGCCTCGGTCCGTGAAAGGGTAACATTTTCACACGCATCATCATCATCATCGGAGTTGGTGACTTGTGAAAAGACATAACAATTGATCTTTGCCTCGATTAATTCCGGCAGTATGACCAAAAGCAAAGCTGCTCACAAGGTGATGGATGACTGATAATTGAGTTTTCCCACAAACATTTGAGTAGGCCTCACAATTTCATGGAATTTCACATAGCCTCGCTTTCGAAAATGTATTTTCCTCCAGGCTGGACTGGCTTTTTGACATCGCCTTGGCGTTATTAGTACCATCAGAGGGAATCGAACCTCTCCACACTTTACCACAACGCCATACTCCCATCTGAAATTCCTAACATTGTGGGAAAATTCACCTATCCGTTATTCATCACTCTATGCGACCATGGGCAAATAAAGCTATTATTCAAGATTTACTGGCCGTTTTAAAACTCACTCACTATGAATATGTTCCTTCCACGCCACACGGCTACGAGTTTCACTGGGAAGTGTAGCCTGAATTAGAATACCTTTTGGGACCAAGGCTAGGCGAATTAGTTCTTTGTCAGCCTAGGTCGTTTTTGATGATCCAAGGATTGATAGATGAATTCTCCTACAATCAGATGAATAGGTTTTAGTATACCAATAAAGTTCATCTATTCTTTCCTCCCTAAAGCTTTTATAGTCCAGGATGGACCCTAGTTTCGATGTCACCTAGGCCTCCCTCACACCCCAAACGGGATTCGAGCCCGCTTCACAAGTATTGTGATGACTTATCATTACTTCATGGCCACGAGTGGTAGTAATGCATAGAGCAGATGCGACATTCAATGCCGACATGAACTCTCCAAACTCATATTTATAGTTGGATATTCAATTAAACAAACACGTGTTTGCCATTTCAATCAACTATGTAATTTAAATGTAATAATACCTTTCGATACTATCAATAATTTTTGAATAAGAACCATCCGTCCTGTAATCACCTTAGGCGACCTAGAGTGATTAATTTTTTTTCATTGCAATGACAGACGCATGCTTGCCTAATCGACAAACCTATTATAAAATGAAAGTTTAGATAGATCTAGCTTACCTTAAATGTCACATATGCCCTATGCCCACCTAGCACCCTGACCGCCTCGATATTCACGACCTGGTATTGAGATCAAAAGTGAAGTCTGGCCTGGATGATATGAGCTTTTGGGGGTTAAGAAGATGTGAAGCTCACTGGCATTGTGAGACCTAGTCACCTCATTGTGGCAAAAACTCAATGCTACATCCTTAAATCTCCTTAACGTGATTAATAAAAGTGGTTTGACCTCGCTGTCGCAACTTGGTCTTGTGGACTTGGTACATTCTCAAACGTTTCCCCGGCATCGTAGTCGACATCATCAGTTAATTTTGCCCGTCTCCGCACCAAGCTATGAACTCGTCAAAGAGACAAGACTGCGTCCATATCGGGGGCCGCACCATCGTGGTCTTAATATCTTCAACTAAGATTATTTATTTTTCGTATGTGAGTAGAGTTTCGAGACTACCAGTAAATCAGTAATATGAGATGTATTCACCCAATTTCGTTTAAGGTGATGAAGGATTGGTAATTTAATTTTCCCACAATGATATGAGTAGAGCTGACGTTTTTCCTTGAATTTCACATAGCCTTGCTTTCCCAAAAGTTGTTCTCATCCAGGTTGGACTGCAGTTTCGACCTCACATTCGTCTTATCAACACCCCAAGCGGGAATCGAACCATGACAGTGCAGAATGTGAGCTCTACTCATATCATTGTGGGAAAATTATACTACCAGTCCTCCATCACCTTAGACGAATTAGGGTTAATACATCTCATATTAATGACTTACTGATAGTCCTGAAACTCTACTCACATACGGAAAATAAGTAACGTAGTCGATTGGTATGGCAAATATACGTTTGCTTCATCGACAATCCCACTAAAGAATATATGGCAAAAGGCCTGGCCTTCCTTGAAATTCACATCTGCCCTGTGATCTAATGATACTAGTTGCAATGTGGTCGAGTGGTTAAT